AGGTTTCTGTTGCTCCGGCAACCCAGAACTTACAGTGTCTGTCCTGTTTTCATGAAGGACATTGATGAGCACCTCTGAGCTATGTGGGTTATGGCATTATTTTGGATTCAGACAGCAAAATAGAAGCCCTTCTATGAGTTTTAAGGAAAACTTTTTAGTGAGTTGCTTCAATTTAGAGTAAATTTAAGGCTATAGAATGATTTAAAATATAGAGGCCCTTAAAACCCTGCCCACATGCTTATGCAATCTGCAATCAAATTTTGATTACATTTTTTTTGCAAACAATTAAAATGTTACACATGCAAAATCTATAGTTCACATGAATATTCACTCTTGGTGGTGTACATTTCGCCAGGATAAACAAATGTGGAGTAGCACACATGCAGCATTTTAGTATGGTGCTGTATTGTTTCACTGACCTGAGAATATTCTACCCTAAACAATATTCCTATTCATTCTCTTTCCCAATTTCCAGTAAGTGATTTGTGTTTTATGTTTCCCATACTTTTCCCTTTTCCAGAATGACAAAATCTTCCTTTTACAGTATAGATGCTTTTTTGAAGGGTAGTCTCAGTGCACAAGAAGAGCATAATTAAAAAATATTAAATAACACATCTTATGAATTACAAGTTTTTTTATTATCTATGATTATCTAGAATATCTGGGCTTAGTGAAAGTTTTGAAATAGAAGCTTTCAATTTATTGATTCTTCTCAGAAATCGCCAGATATATACAGATTTGCTTGGATTAAGGGTCTACTACCATTTTTAAACATGCAGTGGAATATTTACAATTTTTGACCCCTACCTTTAAATGGATCTGCAGGTGGAAATTTACAACTCTCACTGTTCTTCTATCACTTAGAGTCATTCACTATTTCTTTGATCCTAGCTTGAGATCTTTCTCTATTTCTCAGGTGAATACCCAACAAGCTACCTTTGGTCTTGAGCATTGTAAAGGAAAACGACCTTTTTATTTCATGCTGAAACATATCTCCTCACTTTATTTTTGCATCTTGCCATGTTATTTTCATGAGTGTGTAACTTGAACATGTCTCATAAACCCAATGGTAGCTGAGTGTGAGCACCAGGGTCAAATTCTCGGGAAGACAATGCAGGTGTCACAGTTGAGGTAGGGTCCCTAGTACACTGTTTAATTTTCCAAGTAAGGATGCCTGCATGGTTGCTCATTTCAATCACTGTAGAGACCCAGTTTTTAAGGTTGCACTATTGCTTTCCAGAAATATCTCAGATTGAGACATATGCTGTATATCCTCTGTATACCCCATTCCCTCCTTCCTAATCCCAGGGATAAAATGTTCTAAATTATCTCAAACTTTGAAGTATTTTTTCATTTCTTGTGTATCAACATTAGCATTTTCAATTTGCTATTTATGGAGTTAATTTCTAAAACACGTTAAGCACAGAAACAAGGCAAAAATAGTAATGAACAAGTTTTAATAAATAACTTAATGCACCATATTTTTTGTGTGAAGGGAGCTAAAGTGATCAACTCGATGAAAAGGAAGAATTTTGGATGTCTTAGCACAACAGTGTGTCACAGCGGTAGAAATTTATTATCCTAACACAGCCCTCCAGGGCCTCTGAGTAAGGCCCTTAAAAACAGGAATTCATGCAGTATCTTGTGTCAGATTAGTCAAGCTAGCTTCACCATAACAGTGAGAAGTATAGGATAGCATATTCATGTAAATGAAATTAATTAGAGTACAGTCTGAAATTGTTAAATAGGAACAAATTCAAGCTCTGGATACAAAGTCCGGAGATGTGACGCTGTTTATCTTTGTTGACCGTAGAAGGGCTCTGTGGTCACTCACCATGTGCTCTGAATGCTATGGCCATGTGACTGTAGTCACTCTGCAAGGACCAAGGGAACACTTATGAGAACTGCATGCACCAGGAGATTTCATTGAGTTCATTAACTGACTGAAAAATATGTTTCTTGCCTCATGGGCAATACAAAAGTGAACCAGAAATATAAGAATCAGATCCTTGGGAGATTTTACTCCCTTAACAGTAGAAAATATAATCATATATTCAGCAGACATGTGGTCCTGGTCAGTGCATGGCAGAAATATTTCCCTCTGCTCAGAACCTAGAGAACTTGCTGTGCACTCTCTAATGTTTCTCTGCCTGATTTCCAAAAGGCCTGCCTGTCACAAGTTTTCAGAAAAATTTGCTCACTGTCTCAGGACAACAATCAACCTGAAGCAGGGCAGCAGAAGCCCAGCACACCTGCAGCCTTCTCACATCTCAGCTGCCACAGTTGCAACCACTTAAGACCATTGAGGGTGAGAGCAGAGGAGCTGCTGGGTTCTCTCAAGCTACTCTGGATGGGGCTCTGAGATAGGAAGGATGGGCTGGCCTTAGTAGATCTATGCCAGGATTCTTTACTCTATAGACATTTCCTGAAGGGTCTTCAGGCACTTGTGGTCATTGCCAAAAACTAAATCTATGTCATATAATGTGGCTTACACATGTCATGTATATTGTCCTGTGATCATTATGTTTTTAGAACTCTAGGTGAACTATTGTTCTATAGTCCTTAATAGTCACATGATTAATTAACAGGAATCATTTGATTTTCTAAAAAATCCTATCTGGTAATTGATAGAATAGGATCAGCTTCATGAATATATTTGAAAAGATTCAGTCAAGACCTTTGGGTATCAAAATGAATAGGTTGTTATGTTAAAGATCCTCCATTAGATGGTGAACAACCCCACAATAAAGAAAAGGCCTGAAACTACAAACACTAAGACTGTAGAAGTGATGTTTTCCCATTAGGGAGCAACTAAGGCAGGGAGCTGTCTATCCAGTTCTCTAAACTCACATTGCTGGGGCCTCTGTGCAACATGTGCCAGGGTTTTCCTATCTGCCTGTTCTTCCATGTTTCCTGTTTCGTTTTGTGACTGATAATGCACCTGACTGTGGTGAGCTTTCCAGCAGGCCTCTGTGTCAGCAATGAAGCACGATGGTTGAGAGAGGAAGGGATGCAACTCTGAATGCAGTAAGCCATGAGTGCAACACTAGAGAATTGGCCTTATGAAACACTAGTGAGGTGGAAATGATAGATCCTGCAGAACTGGACTCCTGTCAGAGATACAGAGGAGAAGCACTGGAGGAGTCACTTAGAAGAGGGGCAGGTGGGCGGGGAAAGCGGCTGTGACAGCAGACCTGTTCCCCTGCTGTTCTCCAGAGTCATCAGCTATGATCTCAGGCTGGTCCACAGGGACAGAGAGTGTACTGTGAACTTCAGGATTCTCAGACTTTGCAGTGTGTAAGGATCCACAGGTAATGTGGCGACTATGGGCTCTCCGTGTTTATCTTCATTTGGTGAGAATTTAAGATGATAAGATATGCAAGCAATTAAAATTATCATTCATTACTGCATTAAATCACCAGTTAATGTATTGCATGTGCACAGTGAATAAGAGATAAACGTATTTATTTTTGCAATGCATGCTTTTCTTGTTTCTCAGCAGATCCAAATCCGAGTGACTCATACTCTGGGATCAAGGACATTTGCTGATCATCTTCTTGGTCTCTGGCCCTCAGGAGCAGTGAGCACAGCTCTGAGCACCTTCAGCTCACAGATCCATATCAGCTCTTTGGTCTTGCTCTCTCATAGTGTTGCTCCACCTGAACCTTTCAGCTAGTCAGCGCCCAGAGTGTTAAATACTTTTTGCACTTCCTTCCAGGCTGCAGCAGTATGGTCTGTGGTTCGGCCAGGTTCTCAGCTCCATGAGTCAGGGGAGCAGCTGCTTCCTCCAGAGTGTGGAGACAAAGCTCAGATGTCTCAACACTCTGAACCGGATCCAGCTCCAGTTTAGGTCCCTGTTCCTGTTCTCTCCTATCCAGTGCTGTGCTTGAAAATCTGTTAAGACCTTAAGTCACTTAAGACCTTAAGCTCACTTCTCAGTTGTACGCAAGTCCTGAAATCAACTCAGAACTTAAACAAGGATGACTTTTTTTCTTATTTTCCTAGAGGCTTTCTACTGCCTCATACAGCAGACAAATGTTTTGTTCCCATGGTACTTCTCTATCCACTATATGTTAGAAGCACAGGGTTATTCATTTTTAAAGGGTTTATTAATAATCTAATACATTTATGCCAGTCACCTCCGTTTTCTTCAGTTTATTCAGTAGCAGTTCTGCCCTGTTGTGCATGGCAAACATAGAACAGTGTATACCAACCTAGGCAGCATTAGAGAATGCGAAGCTCATGTTACCATCTTAGCAGTGACATACAGGAGGAATGAAGAATGTGGACAGGCCCAGAGACAGAGTTTCATGCATGTGAAATGGGATGGTGGAGCCTAAATTTTTTTTAGAAATGATTTTGAGATGACTTGAGGCTTAGAAACATTGCAGCACTCTGTATATCAAGACCCCTTGGGACCAGTCTTGAAAACACCATGTGCTGAGCTATGAAAGCAGCAGGAAAGAATTTGGGTTGTTTCTCCTGTATCCCTGCTGCTGCCCCATTCCCACTCACTACAACACCCAGACTATTTATATGGTTGAAAGTATTTCCTATCCTCTGCTGCTGTCTTATTCATGCTGTGATAGTGTGTACAGGAACGCAGACAAGTTCACAGTGTTTCCAAATCCTCCTGTCTTTTGTCTTTACATCTCATTTTATAGTCTAGCTTGAAAAAGCTCATGTGTTTCCCTTAGTTACTCCTTCTCAAAGGGATCATAACATAGGACTGTGGATCTCATGTAAAGTTTTTCTGAAACAACACTATAATCACGGGAGAGCAGCCTGATTCTGTCTAGAGGCTCAAGCGAAAAGCACATTCTCTACAGGCAAATCTGTGCTGCTCTGGTGTGGGCAGGAATCCCAGAGGACACTGAGCCCATACTGAGATGTGCTAGCCCTGCAGCCTGGCCAAACCCCTTCTAGCTCTGCTAATTTGCATATCCCTGGAGCCCAGCCAGCTACTTGAGGACTTCTTAACATGCTGCTGATCTAACCTTTGCAGATTCAGTCCCAGTCAGGACACAGCATTGACGTGATGGTTCCTACTCACTTTCTGGGCTTTTTGCTGCTCTGGATCCCAGGTAAGAAAAAATAGCACCAGGAATTTACTCAGCATTATATGGTCAGAGTTGCCTGGCATTTCAGGGAGGTATCATTTTATCAAGAATATCTATGTTGTTATTTGTTATGTTTCCCATCTCAGGTGTCAGATGTGACATCCAGTTGACGCAGCCTCCATCCAAATCTGCATCTGTGGGAGACACAGTCACCATCAGTTGTCAGGCCAGTCAGGGTATTAGCAATTACTTAAACTGGTATCAGCAGAAACCAGGGCAAGCTCCTAAACTCCTGATCTATGGTGCAACCAATTTGCAGTCTGGAATCCCATCGAGGTTCAGGGGCAGTGGATCTGGGACAGATTTCACTCTCAGCATCAACAGCCTGCAACCTGAAGACTATGCAACTTATTACTGTTGGCAGTATGATAAGCTTCCTCCCACAGTGATACAAGCCATGACATAAACCTCCCAGGGAAGCAGAAGTGTGAGGCTGGGCAGCCCCAGCTGCTCCTCTTTGTGTCTTTATCTACATAGTAGATTCCTCAGATGCATCTAGGATTTGAGGGTTAGTGGAAGGACTTGGTAGAAGGGTACAATGAACCTCCTCTATACCTTAACTTTCTTTTCTATTTATGGACTCTCCTTTAATGAAGGAAACCAATGAGTTCAGCAGAGTAATGTGGAATATAGAAATATTTTGTATTCCCAGAGCAACAGAGAAACTGTTCAATAGATTACAGACCTCAAGTTTTAAAGAATCTCATCACTTTTAGAGGTTGCTATTCTTGGAAAAATGTAAAGTTTAGAAGTGTCTTTAATACCCCCGACCCTATGTGTACACTGTACATCATCACCAGAAATTGTGTTCTGTTGTAATCTGTCAAGATCAGTTTAAACCCAAAGTCCTCAGTCCACATGAAGGGTGACTCTTGATTTTGATCATTTCATCAGAAAGCACAGGTACTATGACATATGTTCAACATTTTGGAATGACAAAATTTTTTTCATTGCACAAAATATCACTGTCTTCTACTTTTACATACCTTTATTCCTCCATTTTGTGTGAGACAATCATGTTTTCACATGTCCATAATTTTTCCTTTTCTAGAAAGGTGAAATCTTGGAATTTACAGTATGGAAGTTTTTCAAAGTCTAATTTAGAAATATAATGCTATGCAACACAAATAAAATAACGAACAATTTTTCTACAATCAGATTCACTCTACAGCATGTAATATTTTTATTCTAGTGATTTTTCTTGCAATATTTAGGGATATATGTAAATATGTTGGGGAAAATATGTTATGTATCTCTTCTTCTTTTCACATTGTGAAATTTTATTACTTCTTCTTGTCTTATTTTATTTCCTAGGACCTTCAACTTAAGTTTAAATAAAAGTAATTAAAGTGGACATCAATACTTACCCATTCTGAAGGGTAAAATATTTAGTATTTTATTGGTGAATTTGGTGTTTTTAGAGACTTCACTAGGAATTTAAAGATACTTTTCAAGAGCAGTAGGGTAAGTGCCAGGTTGTGTTTTGATTGATACATTTTAGTGGAACAGTGCAGAGAATCACCCAAGGGATAGATCTTGGCCTGCAGAGAAAGTTGTTTCTGCTATCAGTGGAAGGTATCAGTGTGCTGAAGAAAGGCAGACACAGCACTGCTCATCTGTGAAGTCATTGTGGTTCTCTGACCTACACTAGTGAACCTAAATCACTTTTAATCTTTCTAAATTCTCACAAGATTGAAATTGTGCTAGGGAACTGTTGGAATGACTGCAAACCTACAAAGAAAAAGAATGTCTTCAAGATAACTTTTTCACTTAGACTTAATTCAAGCAGACATAATCATACACCTAGGGAGAGGAGGAGACACAATAAATTTGGAGAGAAACAGTGTCCCCTTAGGATTTAATCTTGTACTTAATAGGTTTATATTGAAGATCATCTGGCTGAGTCTAGAGATTTGGCAAGATCAAAAGACACCAGGACTAAGTTGTGTGACCACAGAGGAGAAATGTTATTTTGCTGCTGTGCCAAGGGCCTTCTGTGCTGACCACCTGGGCCTTGCTTGCTCAAGTAAAGAGAAGAACCCAATGTTTCTGCAGCTGCTAGCTCAGTCCATCCAGCCCCTGCTGCTTTGCATGCTCCTCCCAATACTCTCTGCTGTTCAGATCCCATATCATTGCCTGAGGCAGAGCTCTGGGGAGACCTGAATCAGGGAGGACCTACCATGCACCACGAAAGCCTTGCTTGGCTTGTCTGTCTCTTGTTACTCTGGATTCCAGGAGAGGACTACATGGGATATTTTTGCACATCTGTGTAGACTCTCAGAGTTAGCTTCTATGTGCAGTACTGGATCCTCTGTTCAATAAGAACTGTAATTAAAGTTTATTGTACACTAATGAGCTTAGCTCTATTGAGAACACAATTGATACGACTTAGATTACATGGGTGACATTTCTATTTTATTTTTCTGTCTCAGATTTGACTGGAGAAACACTGCTACTCAGGCTCCAGCTTCCCTGGTTGTGTCTCCAGGAGAATCAGGTACTCTCAGCTGCAGGGATCATGAGCATTTTAGTAGCTCCCTAAGCTGGTACAGTCAGAAACCTGGGCAGGCTCCCAGGCCCCTTATCCATAAAGTGTTCAGTAGGACTGTTGTTGATCAGACGGATTCAGTGGCAGTGGGTCCTGGAGAGACTTTATTTTCATTAGCAGCAGCCTGCAGCTTGAATATCTTACAGTTCATCACTGTTATCAGTATTATAAGTGGTGTCCCCAGGGATACAGTGTGAAACAAAAACCTCCAGAGTCTTTGACATAATTTTGTTTATAGCCGCTGCTTCCTTTTAGATCAGCTGTTGTGTTTCCTGCTCAGCTGAAATGTCTCTGCCTCATTGTGGCAAGAAATCTTTTGATTCTGAAAAGTAACTTGCTGTTAAAATTTTGACTGATTCCTGGATTTGTCCTCATACTCAAATGCAGAGTTATGGTTAGGAATAGTTTCCTTGGCAATGGTGTCAGGTCAGACTCGCAAGGGTGGATACCTTGAAAAATACACATATAATGTCTGATAACATAAAGTACTACAACAGGCAAGCACAGACTTTCATCTTGTACACAGGATGTTAACTCATTATATTTTGACTTTCTGAACAGAAACGATTATTCAAATTTTCTTTCCTGGTATTAATTGATTCTTGTCGTGCCAGTTTCCATTTCATGACCACAAATATTAGTTCCTTAAGAAATGGTGTATTTACAGCTTGGTTTTTCTTATCATTGCTTAGTGCTTTGGCTGTGATTAAATGCCAAAATTATTTTTTATACATACTACCTCAACTGCTAGATCTATTCATTAACTTATTTTTATTCTAAATAAGACAAAACAGAAAAAGCACAATCAAAACAAGCCAGTGTAAGAGATACAGAACTTCAAAACACTATGAAATCAACAGTAGTAACCATAATGCCTTTTGATGTCTTCAAACTAGCTGTATTTAACTTTCTATATAGAAAACATCAAGCATAACTGAATACAATAGAAACCAAACAATTTATGCAATAAAGGATTTGAAAAGAAGCAAGCAAATCCAAAATGACTACCAAAATTCATCTTCCTGTCTTTGAAAGAGTTGGCCTGCCGTTAGTTTTGCCATAATCAAATAAAACAAAATGGAATAAAACCAAACCCAACAGAAGAATAGAATTTCCAAAACAGGACCATAGAGAATCAACAATGACTGCACCCCTCAGAAGGAGACGCCCTCAAATGTCACACATTGTACCTCTATCCTCTGAACCTGTGATCAAACCACTGGCCCTAGACCTGCTATGTCAGTGAAACATCAAAACACCACAGACATCCAATTGCATTTCTTCTCCATAGCTATCATCACAACCGATGTTTCCCCAGATAAGCCAGTGGCTTTTGGCGAGGGTGAGCAGGATGGTGGTTAGTTCGTTAGTGTTCTTGTTTGCCAGCCTGCATGCAGGAAGGGGCTGAGATCTGTCTGTTCACATTTGGTGGCAGCTCATGCATGGTGCTGGTTCCCAGACTGGTTTGTTTGCTAGTGTGCCCTTGTCTCCTCTACCCTTGTTCTGCTAATTGTGCTGACTCATGGGGAGAGGTTGAGGTCTCTCTGTTTCCATTTGGTGCTGGTCGGTGCATGGCACTGGTTCCCACAGGTTTTAGTTTTACAGTAATATTTTACACTTTTTATCAGAAAATATTTAGCAGTATGTTTCTGTGTGCCTAAATTCAATGAGCTGTTCAGTTAAAAACAGTGTGCTTTAGTGTAATTGAACATTTTTCTAATCATGATGGTTAAATTCACCATCAATTTCAGAAGATTGTTTTTACACTAGTTCAGGCAGTAGAGCTTTATGAAGAAGAACTTCCACAAGCTCATCTCAGCTGTGACAATTAGGAATTGTGTGTCTTTTACTGAGATGTGTACTTTCTTTACTTTTGTGGTTTATCAGTATATAAAATGAGAATTTATGCAAGTGTCGTGGATTATATGAAAACCACGAACTTCCTACGTACTCTGATTTTGTGCCAAGTAAGAATGCAAGAAAAATTGAGGTTTTGGTAAAAATTAGAAGAGAAATAAAGAGGAAAAATATGCTTTAAGAACATTAAGAAAAAATAAATCTCATAGTTTGCATTTCATAAGAATTTTTCAAAATTATACCTATATATTATGAGTTTTAAACATAAATACAATAGGATATTACAGCATTACCCACTCATTAAATACACAGATACGTAGATGGATTAAAATTTCTTTCACATTTTGTCACTCTTTGCACATCTGTGATTTTACTCTTTTGGGTATTTTCTTATTTTGGCATTTCTCAAAATTTCAAATAATTTTGGTAGTGCTTTTTATTTTTTCACATGCTTTTGAAGGTTCAAATAATTTTTATAGGTTGATACTGAGTAAAAGGAAAACTGTAATTTTAGTTGCAGAACAAACATTATCATTACAGATTACTTTTCTTTTGCTTAGGTAGGATGAGATGAAACCTTTTATAATACTTTTCTCTATACTTTCTGATTTCCCTTGCCTGTATAATGATTTGCCATTTTTTTTCCTTTTTTATAACATATTTTCATGTTTTTCTCTCCCTTCTGTTTATATCTATTCCTGGTCTAGCCTCAGGTCACCCTTCTCTGGGGTAGAATGGTGCATGACTCTTCGTGAGTTTTATTAAGCTGCGTTTCTTCACCATTTTTAACCCCTGTGCTGTGGAAAGTGCTTGGTCACAGCCCCTCCTTCACACAGCTGTGATCCAGGTCCAATCATATGGTCGCTATTGTCTTCATTAAGTGTCACTCACTTTGATGTCTTTGGCTTTTAGTGCAATAAATTCTCATTGTTGTGCTTTTGTTTTTTACATAGATTTGCACATTTATTTAATTTTCAAAAAATTGTTCTTACTTTGATAAA